TCTGTCTGTCTGTCTGTCTGTCTGTCTGTATCTGTCTTTCTTTCTTTCTTTCTTTCTTTCTTTCTTTCTTTCTTTCTTTCTTTCTTTCTTTCTTTCTTTCTTTCTTTCTTTCTTTCTTTCTGTCTTTCTGTCTTTCTTTCTTTCGTTCTCTATGGCATGCAGAAGGTCTTGGGTTACATTCACTCCTCATAATCACCCACTAATGCATCCATTACCATTTGATGAAGGGCTATCACACTGAACCATTTCTGAGGCACTCAGGATAAGAAGTGGAGTTGCTGCTGAGTTAAAGTGATAATCTCCTTCTCTTTGCTACCCCTATCTGGTCACAATGCTGCTGTTTTCTGTTGACAAACCACTGACTGGGCCATGTTAGGAAAAAAGACAACAACAAAGAAAAACAAGGTATATTGGTGCCATGGTTGAGTTTTCATCTCTCCTTGTCTGGGTCACACAGCCCGACCTGAACTAAGACTAAATGGATGCTCGCCATTAAGTACTGTGGCGTAGAGTGGAGAGAACACTTTACGTCTTATTTTTGTTTGAGAGATCAAAGTGTCTGATTATATTCTACTTCAGTTGTGCAACAAAAGCAGGCAGTGCAATTATAATAAATGTTATATTATTATTATATTTTATATTTTTCCTGCTAGGACTGCATTCATTCACTATTGTATTGTTCAAACAGGCTACTCTAGTGTTGTTATGAATGGCGTGAAAGACAACCACTTCTTTTCGCTGCAAATGAAGAGATAACGAAGGCAACATTTTCTGTGTCAGCAGCTCACTCAAGCCTGTGTATTTTATTGATTTAATCTCTGCACGCTAGATCGTCCGAAATGCACAATTCATGTACTTTCATTTTTAATATCAATAAAAAACATTTTATCAAACATATATGTGGCTAAAGAATTTACTTTGTTGTTTTTTTCTTAAAACTCTCGTACGCTTTTTTTGGCCTTCTGTCAGTGAATTTGCCTTTGGGCAAATTCTGAGGTATTTTTATATTGCTTAAACTTTGTGCGCCCTGCAAATGATTTGTTACATCTTGAGATGTTGCAAAGAATCTCCAGCTGCTTTAAGCTCGCCTTTTTCCCCCTCCTCTCCCTGTTTTTGCTCAGTTGACGGCCTGGCTGCATGACTGCTTGTCTGTTCCTGTCTATCTGCCAGACAGTTATTCCTTAAATCAGCACCCACAAAGTTACAAGTACAATGCCCACAACTCCTCTGTGATTCCTCTTCTGCATGCATCCCTTAAATTGAACCTATTGTTATGGGTGTCTAGCACACCAGTCCAGTCTCAAGTGTGCATTTCTCACTTTGTTAAGCAACTCTTAGTTCTGAAATTATAACATGAAAGTGGAACAGCCTCTCAGGGGATATTTGTTACTAGGCAGGATTTACTGAGCAGTGCCTGTTTTCCTTACAGTTAAACAGTTTGGTTGCAGAGGTTATCTGAGTTTACCAGATTTATAGAGGCACTTCATTCTGAGTTTCAGTTTGACTTAAACAATAGACTTAGCCCCCAGAAATGCAAGAATCTATCCTAATTCTGGCCTTAAAGCACATTTTTTTTGTCTTGCAGTGATGAGATGCACATGTGTTCCCTCTGGGAGAGTGGAAAGGCATGTTTGGGTATTATTGCAGGAGCTCATGTGCCATGTTTTATGGTCATAAATCGCTCTATTAAATCACCTATGCTTGTCCCATGAAACCTTAATACTTTACAATGGGGTTCATTCCCCATTTCATAAAGACTGAAAAACACTGCTGTTGTGTGCCAATTTCAAGAGACAGCAGACGCTGCACGTTCGCACACATTGAGTACATACTGAGCATTTACATGTGTGTGCTAAACTTTCCATGAGTTTACACATCTGACATGTGAATTCGGTTCATTTTTATTAATGTAATATGATTAATGGATGAATCATTAGCGTTGACTGTTTAATAAGTAACTTTGATTGACTGTGTGCTTTAAAAAAAAGCACAGGTTGATTAAACAAAAAAAATAATGTTTGCTCAGCTGAAATACATTGGGTTTTGTAAAAGTAACTTTAATGTATCTGTAATAAGAACATTTTTTTTAAAGGTAAATTGAAAAAGGACTTTTCAGGTTTTAGTGTGTTTGTTAATGTGTGCATTCTGTGACCAAATCTATTACTTGGAGATGTTTAGAGTGACTCTAAATTATGGAGATAAAATCAATTTCCTTCACGAGAGGACATGGAATGACATAAGTGAAACTGAAATAAGTCAGCCTGTCAGGGCTAGTAAAACTGATGATGTGTTTAA